CATGCTCGAAATTTGCAGATGTTGTGAACCTGAGAGATTCTTTCACTCACTAATGGTGTAATAGGAGGTGTCATTTTTCACGAATTTTTCACAAAAATTGCCATATTTTTCTGAAAGTTTTTTTTTTTTTCTTCCTTTTTTGTATGATATGTATGTTTTCTTTTTTTTATGTTTATATTATGAGCCTGCATTGTTTATTCGCAAAATTTTCAATGACATTGCTTGTGGTGATGCGGCAAAAAACTCGAATTTTAGGTCTTCCATTAACCATCTTTCCTTTTACTACCTCTCTAGTTGCTACCCAGGAGGCCTTCTTTCCCCCTATAACCACTCCACCTCTTCTCCAAACTCCCCAATAGTTGGCAAAGCGTTTTACCTCCTAAGAGTATTAGGCATCCATCGTCGTCGTCACACTGTGTTTGTCCACTTTGCTCTATATGTGTCGGTCTTCAAGAGGGCTCAAATTGGCCACGTACTTGCGTAGTCCCTTCACTGTCAGATGCTAGCTCAGCACAACGGCTCAATAGACGTTCGAAAGAGAACAAACCATAATTCACAAGAGTTATTAAGACAGTGAATGAGAACCGCGAACAGTATAAAACCGAGCATTTGAGAAAGGGGACTTCGGGCTTGAAGTGTTTGTGCTCAAACTCCGCAAAAATTGCTAACATGAGACCACCTTTCTCGTTGCTACTCAAGAGGTTTTTTTCCCCTCTTTGGCCACTCTACACCTCATCGTCCAATTCCCCAACAGATGACAACTCGTACAACCTTCCTTGAGTACTAGGGAGCCATCATCGTCGTAGCACCGTGTTTGTTCACCTCGCCCTGTGTGAGATGGTCTCCGAAAGAAGGGTTTCGCTAGTTAGTTACTTGGGTAGTTGCCAACTCATGACAACGACTTAGTAAACGCCCAAAAGATAAAGAAGTGTCATTCATATCCACACTTACCAAGGTCGGTAAAGGAAACCACTCACCATAGAAAAACAATCTCTTGAGCACAAGGGTTCTAAAACCTTCGAGTCCGTGCTTAAAATCCATAGAGATTGCTAACCTGAGAGCGTATTTCACCGCCTCGCTTATTGCTATCCAATAGGCCTTCTTTCGTTCTCTAACAATTTCACACCTTGTTGTCGAGACTCAATAAACGTAAAAAAAAGAATGAAGTGTCATTCGTATCCAAACCTACAATGCGGGAGACGAAAACCACTCATCATAGAAAAGCAGCCTCTCGAACAGAGGGGGTTCGGGTCATATATGTTTGCGCTAAAATCCATAGTGATTGTCAAACTAAAAGGTTATTCAACTCCCTCTCCTCTTGCTACCCATGAGGTCTTATTTTCCCCTCTTACCACTCACACCTCGTTGTTCATATGCCCCAACAAATGAAAATGCATACAATTTTCCTTGAGTACTAGGCAGCCATTGTCATTACCGCATTGTGGTCATGGACTATGGTCCCTCGAGCACTTGGTTAGTCCCTTCACTGTTCGTTGTAAATATGTCACCGTGGCTTAATATACGTCCCAAAAATAATGAAGCACCATTCTCATCCGGATTTACCAAGGTAGGAATGAAAACCACGAACCATAAAAAAACAAGCTCTCAAGGGAAGGGGCTCCATGCCCTATCTATTTGCGCTTAAAATCCGCAAACGTTGTCAACTTGAGAGCTTATTTCACTGCTCATCTCGTTGCTATCCAAAAAACTTTCTTTCCCCCATTGACCACTATCATCTCGTCGTCAAAATTCCCCAACAAATGTCAATGCATACAACCTCTTTGGAGCGGTGGACAAACATGTTGCGATGGCGATGATGATTGTCAGTACTCTAGGAAGTTGGGGAGTTTGGATAACGAGGGGTGGGTGATCGGTAGGGGAAAGAATGTCAACGATGGAGGCAGTGAAAAAAAATTTCAGGTTGATAATCTCCGTGGATTTTGAGCATAGACACTTAGGGTATGGAGCCCCTCTGCTAGAGTGCTCACTTTTCTATAGGGAATGGTTTCCATTTGCTATCCTCGGTAACTCTTTATGTGAATGGTGTTTCGTTCTTCTTTGGATTTTTTAAAAGTTGTTGTGATGAGTTGGCAACCAACAATTAAGGGGCAATGTAAGTAAGTGGCTAATGGGACCCTTTCCTTGAAGACCAGCACGCACACGCTGAATTGGGATCACTGCAAGGGGAAAGTGGGTTAGACTCTACGTGAGGGAAGTGAGATATTCCTATATAACAAATGTGAGAAAATGTGCACAATTTGGCATGTATACACCATTGGAGGAAGCAATTGTAACACAAACGGAGGAGGCGGCAATGAAAGTCATAAAAACGATCACAAGTTGCGGAGAATACACACATATGAGCACTAACGCAGACGGAGGAGGTAGCAACGAAAGTCCCATAAGGACGATCACAAGATGTCGAAAGTACAGAGTAAGAGGTAAAACGCTAATTGTTAGTACTTATACTATTTCATTTCTTTAGTATGTTGTCGTAATGCAGCTGTTGAATCACAACTTCCAATTCACATCAAACAACCATAGGGAAATTATTGTGGTCAAGAAGTAAAACAGTGACATGGCGGAAACTCGTTCAACCGAAATCTGCCGGCAGGCTGGGCGTTATAAACTTAAATGATCAAGTACCAACACTACAAGCATGATATGGATAACAATATCTGGCAACAAACTCGAGGGATCAGACGTCTTTGGTCTCCATGGAAACGATCGCGGCCAAATTGAGAACGCAATTGCAGGTTCTCTGTCATTGTCTACTGAAAAACCAGCTCTTATAGAATCTTAAGCCGAAAATGATATGGGCCGTTATTATGGCATGTGATAGTAGCAGTCATCGCGTTCCATCGAACTCAGAAATCCGTTGCAATAGGACAAGGGTTGGTGGCAAAATAGGGAAGACTTGAGGTCCCCTTCTTTGTGGCAGGGAATGAACCATTGGATGATTGTAAAGTGGGAACGGTGGTTCGAGAGGAGAAAAAATGACTTGATGCTTGACTTATGCTGGAAAGTTGGTATGTGACTTCTATAGGATGTGTCATGCGGCTTGGGATAAAGCAACAAATCGATCGACCATAAAGAGTTAGAGAGGAGCAATTCACTATTGTGGATATGGTAAGGGAGTGTCGTTTTGGTAAACGCACCTTCAAGGCATACCATATCCCTCAAAGGTAGGCTGAGTTGGAAGGGGATCTGACCCTCTTCTGTCCTCCAAAAAAACTTCAGCACCACAAAGTGTCATTGTTGCAAGTTTCAACTTGGTCCTTATACTGGCAGTTAATAGAGCCATATGGGATTATAAAAGAGTTGACAATTAGACAGGCCAAAAGGGATTAGGTCCCTCATACATCGCTTGTAGCATTGACATCAAACATGATGCAACGTTTCGCGTGGCTTAATGTGATGCTGCCTAATCAGGAACAAGTGTGGCTGCTATGGCTCATCATACATGTAGCAGTAGTGACAACAAAGTGGCAAGCGACCAAGTCACAAATTGCAAATCTTTTGTCTCGGTTCCATGGGCAGGAGGAAGAAACTATTTCACACTTATATCAGCGTTGCATGACCCTATTCGCTTTTAGGACAAAGTGGGACCATGACATGGCAGATTGGACACCTTTCACCCGCAAGTACCTTACACCTTAAACGGTCAATACGTTTCCCCGGTACATTTTCAAAGATACAGTTTGGATGTTGCCATATCTTTCAGGGTTTGGTCTCCAGCTGGCGGCACTAGCCAAAAAAAGATTTGTGCCGATTTTTTTTTTTTTTTTTTTTTTGGTGCAGGGCGTTTCCAGACCTGGAGAAAAGTGTCCCTAAAGTACTGGTGTTTTAAAGTATTATTTTTTGCCTAAAGGTGGACAAAGATTGTCCGAAGACGATGATGGTTGCCTCGTATTCCGGAGAGATTGTACATATTGTCATCTGTTGGAATTTGGATAGCCAGTTTTGGAGTGGTGAGAGGGGGGAGGAATACCTTTTGGGTAGCAGCGAGAGGGGGAAATAAGCTCTCAAGTTGCTCTGTGTATTTTGCGTGTAAACACGTAAACCACGAAACCCTTTTCCTCGAAGAACTCGTTTTTCTGTGATGCGTGGTTTTCGTTACCTGCCTTGGTAAATCTGTATGTGAATGGTGGTGTGTTCCCTTTTAGACGTCAATTTCGGCGTTTTTATAAGTTGGCAACTGGCAGTGAACAGACTACCGAAGTAAGTGGCCATTGGGACCCTTCTCCTGGAGACCAACACATACAGGGTAGAGTAGCACCACCACAAGGGGGAATGTACCTCGACTGGGGCCAGGTCTGGCCCACCTGGGCCAGTATAAGGCAACCCAGGCGGCTCGGCTGGTAGCTCAGGTGAATGTCGAACCTTTGAGGGGCATAACTCAAAATGCCGCATATTAGGGGCATCCAACCAAATTTGCCAAACATTTTCCCAACAAGAAAGAAACGGTAACATAAAGCAGCATAGCCGCTTGTGGACAGCACAGCTGTCCTTCTGCACTCCTGGATGCCCAGCTATCCGCTGGCAAGTGCACTGCCGAGTACGCACAACCCTGGCCGATGGGTGCCCGGCCGTCAAGCCAGTCCGTGCAAATGGGACCTCTCCCTGGTGGCTCATCTGCTGCGCCTACGTAGCAACATCGGCTAAGACCATATCGCATCCCAGTCCAACCTGCCCTTCATTGTACCCCAAGGCCAGGGCTTGGTGTTTTTCGCAGGCCCTTCCAACTTCCAATCTGGGCGACATCGTCACCGATGTCCGCCGGCACGCCTACCAGACCTTCTCGGGAGTTGCCGATCTGCATACCTATCAGTTCGATTGTGATGAAACCGAGCTCACTTGGCCTGGGCATTCTCATTACCGTTCCAACCCAATTTAACGGGTGTCCCTGAGGGCAGGTTAGCGGCTTGCCCCCTGCTTCGGTCCTCGGCAGATAGCGCGGGAATCTCACTGCAGGGTGTCGTGGGGTACCGTAGCTGTGCCCGAGCCTTCCAGCGTGCTGCGCCGTTTGGCGCTCGGTAAGAGCAACGAGAGCTCTGTGAGGGAGTTGTAGTCTCTATGCGCCGCCGGCCGTCGTGGTGGGGGAGACTGCACCCCAAGCTCGGCATCGGCATCGGCATTATCTGGGCCCAAGCAAAGTCTTTACACACGTCCGAGCGCAGCCTGTCGAACAAGCAGGTTCCGACTCATCGCATCTGTTTTGTTCAGCCGAGCCGATTCTCTTCCTCGGTGGCGCGGGCAGCGAAAGTTCTGCTGCACTGAGCAGAGGAACTGCCGTCGGGAAAGGAGGTCGATCTTGCGCCGCCATCTCTGGCTTCCGTAGACGGCACGTCGCACGCCACCGCACGGGAGGCCGACTTGACCTGATCTATATTTGATAGCTGCGACGAAGCTGCTCTCCTTTGTGTACTCCATCGCCCACCTGCGTTCGACTCCTCTGACGGCGTTGGCACTTTCGAGGGTTCGCATTTCCCACGCTAGTCAAGATGATGGCCTGGGGTAAGCCGTGCCTACCCCTCCAAGCATGTTGTCGAATATGCGTCTCTGTGTCTATCTATTCAGTAATGCAATTGCAATGACAAGGTCGGCTCCTCGATTTGTCGACTATTGCTGCCTTACGATTGTCTTAGGTTATTTTAAGGGCGGATGTTTGCCAGTGAGCGCATGCAAATTTCCATGGTTGTTGGATGACTGGCTGACAATCAGAGAGTTGATTGTGTTCAGATCGTTTGCACACACAAAGCGGCTATGGGAGGTTTATGACGCTCGCCCCGAGCTGAACTGGAGTGGTTCAATTCTTTCGATGATGCTGATGGACTTCTGATTTCGTCTGTGTGATTGATTGGATGCTGAAATGGTCGCGCCTTGCAGGGATCGAGGTGCCGGGGGGGTCGAAGCCGGTTACAGTCACGCCTGAAGAAGGAACGCACCTGCACTTGTCACAGGTATGTGAAGTCTGATTTTCCTTCGTTACAGTTAGGTTAGGGTGAACATCGAACGGTAGGGGCATCTTAGCAACTCTCACAGGTTTGCGACCACTGGTACCTTCTGCCCTCGAATAGAGCGCACGGTCATTATAGCTCTACTTGGGGCATCTTTCAGTCTAAATACAGCTGTAACGACTGTGCGTTGTAGTTGGGGGGAAACGGCAGATTTGGAATGCAGTTTGTGGTGTCTCTAGCTATCGACTGCCAGCCGCGCTTAAGCGTTCTATAGGGAGCTGGTTTTTCAGGTTGTGCTGTTCGACATGGAAGCGGAAGAGTTGGCGTGCTCGGGGTACGGTTTATTCACGGCTCCCGACGAGGAGCGGGATCTATCGCGGGCGTATTTTCTGTACGGTGTGTGCGGATGACGCTGGAGTTATTAGAACCAGTTCATCATGAGTACGCTAACGGTAATAGTGGATGGTCAGTGGATCGTTCGAGGATGATGATGGATATATAGGTTGAGTGGAGATCGGTTTTCGACGATGATGATGGTGGAAGCGAAGAACGTTGTTTGTGTCGTAGGCATCGTCGATTTTGCTCAGTATTTCTGTACACGAATGTAAGTTGTTGTTACGTTTGATCTCTAGATTATAGACTGGATGTGCAGTATTCTTGAAAGCCTGTTCGCATCAAATGAATTATCCAGCCATAATTGTGACACACTTTGAACGATTGCTTGAAATGTGTATAGACCGGGTTAATTTCCAAATGAAGGATCTGATGTGCTATCTCGTTGATCTCTTCGATGTATGTTAAGCCAACATACGATCCTTGAGCACATAAATGGTGAGGCTGTTTGGTTTGTTTACTGAAACAGAGATTGTTGCATGTGCTGTGCTATGTAATGCGACTGTATCAGCAGCTTCGTTATGCTTTTACTAAGGCCTTCTGTTATGCGGCCCGTGCCGCGTGTGCTTCTTCAATTGTAGTTGATGACCTCCAGGTTTTCGCTTTGTATTTGGGCCGCCCCGCAGATCGGCTGAATGTCGCCCATACAGCAGCAACAGGTTATAAGTTTGCAGGGGTTCAATTGGTCGAGGTCGTCCGAGTGAGTTTAGGTTACGCGAATCGTTTCCAATGCTCCATCCAGAGATTAATGACGTATTAAGGTCAGGTTATGGGTCGATTCGAGAAGTGGGTGAATGGCCATATGCGAGTTTTATCGATTCCGCCTTTTGATGTAGCCGAGTTGCACTCTGCAATCGTAACTGAGACTGGGTTTTGAGGTTAGCTCGCCTTCGCAAGGTTTCGACTCTTTGTCCCGGCCATTGTAGCACGTGTGTCTCCCAGGATGTATAAGGGGTATGCTATGCTGACTTGACGTCAATATTACGTTCCTCCGGATTATCACCGGCAGTCTCTCTAGAGTTCCATAATGGCAAGTACCGTCTTCATCCGAATAAAGCGCCTGGTCATCATTGCTGCATCTGGTCGGGAAGTTGCCGCAGATGCAGCTGTAATGACCGGGCGTTGTATTCGGCTGAAGACGGTAGAAACGAGGGTTGCGGTCGTTGCGGGTCTCAACCCAACATCTCACGACACGAGCTGAAGACAGCCATGCAGCAACTGTATGTGTTCCCGTAGGCACTCCCTCTTTTGCAGAGGGACTCGCAGTATGTCAGCCTCTATAATGTCCGGTGGCTAGATTTAGCTATCGGCGGCTTATTATCGGTACGAGTTCGGCTCTACTTGTTAACTGTAGCGCGACTGCTTCGTGTTGGAAGCATCATGATTTAAGTTGCGTCGCAAAGAAAACCGCGGATTGAATGCATCATTCGTCGGCCATTTGGCGAGGTTGTCTATCACGGACTGAAAAAGAGATTTCTTGTTTTACGAGTGAGGGTTTCGTGAACATTACTTGTGGGGATCGTGTTTGACTTGATAGAACTGGAAAAGTTAAGGTCTCGAGGGACTCTGCATGTTCATGTATGTTTCTGTCTCTGGTTAGGTAGGGTATCGAGCACATGCACGCGGGACGTGGTGGTGGCCTGGTTTCAAGTGTCCTGTCCTGTGGGCGTCTTTCGTCGCGCTGCTTTGAACGTTGGACTCCATAGCTTCCATTCACTTCCGCCGTTATCTCTGAGTGTTGTACTCCACTGCCACTGACTCCATAGCTTCCATTCACTTCCGCCGTTATCTTCTCTGAGTGTTGTACTCCACTGCCACTAAGTACTATCATCGTTTGCATCTCCGGAGAGATGGACGTCTGGTTTCGGCTATGTTGCGTCGGGCGAGATCTGAATGTAATCGACATGAAGGTTTAGCGGTTGCAGTGTGTAGTTGGAACTGCAGTGACGCCCAATGGAAATCCTAGGAGCTGGCACTTGGGTGCTATATATCTATGGCTTTAAGATCAGACTGAGTTTTCTATTGGTAGACGGTGCTTCAACCCTCTTATCGTTGGTGCCTGCTGGGAATCGGCATACTCTTTGCGTACGGATGGCGACAGATCTCATTGTCCTGGTCTGTCGATTATTGATGTCAGTGCCGAGGTTTTTAGTACGGAAGGAGATGGTTCTCATGGAAACCAACCTGCAGAGGATGCTTAGCCTGGTCTATGCTCTTTGAACTCAGACACTCCTACGTGTGGATGGATGATCTAAATCCTTTTAAGAGCAGCGTGGTTAATCTGTGTATCATTGAGTCTGGTAAGCACATGCCCGTCTTATTGCTGCTTTATTGTTGCGCATGGCTTGGTGTGTATCAGGTGGCGCTTGGTCACAACCCGAAGGACAATGAGAGAGCGGTTCTCAGCGTTGAGCATGAAGACAAGAAGTGGGTCATCGGCACGCTGGTGAAGGGGAAGACGGATCAGTTTCAGCTGGACTTGGTGTTCGATCGGACATTTAAGTTGTCTCACTCAGGATCGACGGGGGTTTATGTTATTGGCTATGAGAGTTTCGAAAGCACATTGGCGTCCAGATATCCTTTGAACGAGTGTACTGTACCGGTTGCCCATTTGAAATCATTGTGTTGTTTGTTGTCTGCATGTTTTGTTTTGGATGTGTGGTAGGTGGCCTTCGCTGTTTGAGATCGCACCGTTTACGCATTTGAAATCGTTGTGCTGCTTGTGTTTTTCTAGCACAAACAATGATAAGTTGGTGTGGTGGTGGTTCGCCTAGTGAACATGGGTAATGTGTTATATAGATTGTGGATCTCGTGTCTTAGGAATGTGGAGATAACTTCTGTCCGTTATTTTCGGTGACGATGAATGTTTTGGCGAGGATCGGGGACGAACCCTTCATTAATTCTGCTATGGCTTTTTCGCTTTTCATTTTGGTTAGGGTATCTAGGCGTGGCTTTTACTGTTAGATGGATGCGGTCTTTACATTGTCACAGGCCGGCACATGGGCAATGTTGTCGTGAAGGTTCCCTTCGTACCTTGAAATATTGCAGATGTGGGAGAGGTGGTGTGTAGCCGATTTTTGTACGGAATGTTGTGGGAGATCTGGCAGACGAATTTATGAATGCAGCGGGGCTTTCAGACGCTTGGCTGGGTGAGGCGGAAGAAGGGGGAGTTGATGAAGAAAATCGGAGAGGAAGTGGGTGTGGGAACCGGAAGTCGGTTGGTTTGTGGATATTTGTTGTCAAAACGATTTCGAAGTTATATCCGTAGGAGCATGTAGAAATTGCCTGCAGGTCATGTATGTGGTGTGGTTTTGTTTATAACGTAATAATTTTGGCAATTTATCCTTGACGGAGGTCTTCACTGACGAGGAAGAGATGGGTTTGGACGAAGAGGACGTCAAAGATATTAAAGAAGGTCAGTGTTCCTATACTGGATTTTACCAGTACAATTTTATTTTTTTAAGGTGTTTGGTTTCCGGAATTTTTGCTGGGGTGTGTGGTATGTGTCCAACTGGACACTTGAGCCTTGGTGGGGTTGGGTGGAAATCACGAACGGTATGGTTTTACATTTTTGAACACCGCGTTCTCTGTCTATTGTGGTTTTGAGTCTTGCCTCTCTAGTCCACGGTCGCGGGTTCTTATTCGTGCTAGCACTGAGGAGGGCCTTGGACCCAGATGTATATGGATCTACAACTACAGTTTGAGTCGCTGGATTTTAAGGGGGTTGCTGCGGAAGACGGCTTTCAGGTGGTGATGTGACTATTGTTGTTCTGTCTGTGAGGCCGGGAAGGGTGTGATCTAGAAAATGTGTCTTGTTGCGACTTGTTTCGTGCTCATGTGCTTAGAGTTGGTAAAGACTAGTTAATTGTCTGCTACGGCCATACCTCGAGTTTATCGGTAAATGCGTGGAGAGACGGATGACGTCCGTCTGCGTGGATTTCTCCTTCCCGTGAATGTTTTCTCGACGAATTGCAGGCGTGGAATTTTCAAGTTCAGTCTGCAGGCACTGCTGAGATTCCCTTCTCAAAATGTATTGAGCGAAAATGTAACCGAATCGTCGTTTAACTCGTCTCCGCAGTTGGTGTGAGTCTGGTTTGGTTTTTCGTGTTTTGTCTGCGTGGCGCTCCTGCACTCGGCTGTGCAAAGGACCTGATATACGTAATAACCGCTCTATGATTTTTTGTGCTTGCACAGAAGTGAAGGCCAAACAAGTTGGGAAAGTAAAGGAGGAGAAGAAGGATGTGAAGGAGTCGAAGGACGGCAAGGACAAATCGAAGGCTGCTGCGGATGTTAAAGCTGCAGCGAAGGAGAATGGAAAGCTTGCTAAAGCTGGTGAGTGAAGTCGTCTCTTCAAGGTCTCTAATGTTTAATTACGTAACGTGGTCGGAGTGCTTTATATCTCTTTATTTCTTGACTGAGCTCTTAAACAGCGCGTCTTGCTCCGATCATTTTCAAGCATGAGGTTGGGCGGAGTTTGGAATGAGCAACTGCGTTATTTCCTTGACAATTGCAGAACTGTTATCGTTTCTGAGGTCGTGCTAGTTTTATGACCTATGGAATGTCTGAACGGATCTGTGTGTGAGGTCCCTTTTGATGTTCCCCTGGAACGTCGTTCCGATGAGGCATGTTGTGCATACGTGTATCTTCCCTCGTAGATGATCTACATTCGTCCTGAATGTGAACATCTCTCACTTCGATTGCAGGAGCTTTATGTTTGCGTATTTACCTTGAGAACGAATGCGTCGTTATGAGTTTGAAGCAATGTGTGATTGTGCATGTCTATGAGCAATCGAGCAGGAGTCGGAATCAATATCTGTTTGTGGATGTGTCTGAGCATTCGAAAAAACTGTCTTCATTTACCTGGTATTGTTACGGCACTAAGATGCCGTGTTCATTGTCTGTTTGTGCATGTCTGAATGTTAATGAATGTGTGGCAACGGGGTGGGGTGACAATTGAATGGGCATGTAGATGCTGCAGCAGGAGCCGAAGCCGGTAAGGATGCGAAGAAGGCTGCGAAGGTAGCGGCGCCCTCGCCGATGAAAGACTCTGACGAGGAAGATGATAGCGACGACGACATGGATGTGAGTTCTTGCTCTGATTCTCTCGATCCCAGCGTGTGTTCCAAGTCCGAACGTTCAATTGATTTCGCTCGTTTTTCGATGTGTATCTATGTGCCTGTGGTTGTTCTCTTTGAACAAGGTAACACCTACGAACGAATCGCGTGCATGCAACTTCTTGTAGCGGAGGTGGAGGATAAATCTGGTCGCATGCACGTGAATGGTGTCTGATCAAGTGACAAATTTCGCCCTTCGCAATCCAAAGGGTGCGGTGCAAATGAAATGTGGTGATGTGTTAGCGCTAAGTTTCGAGTTTTGAAACAGGACGTTCACTTGCCCAGTCAGGGAAGATTCAGGGAAGATCTCCCGTTTGACAATCAGATGTATAACTCCCCTTTTCATCCGGAACTCGGGAAGTTTCATGTGAAGTTTCATGTCGAGTTTCATGTGAAGTTTCATGTCGAGTTTCATGTCGAGTTTCATGTCGAGTTTCATGTGAAGTTTCATGTGGTGTCTTAGTAATCGTCTAGCGAACTGCTGCTGTGGTTATGTAAAACGCGCGCCGTGTTTGAATTCTGTGGGGGACAGGGTATAAAGTCTCCTTTCAAAAATCCCTGTTCTCGCAGTGTACTTAACAGTTTCCTGATGGGTGCATGCAACACCAATCTTTTCCTTCTTTCGTACCTTCGCGCCCTTATTTGACTCGTTCTGACCCGCGCGCGTTAGCATGGGTGGTTAATGCAAGTAGATGATTTAAGATCCGGGTAATCTCACAAAATAACACTCGTATATATTGAGCTCGTAATGGTACTTCACAATTACAAAGTTTTTTTATGCGGTTGGCGTCATGCGTAGCTAGGTCTCCCCTATGGCCAACGTTGTTTTCACACGATGGAGCGTTAAGTTTCTTTCGTCGAGGTTGAGCCATATGTAGATTGTCTCGCCTGTGGACGATGGAGCGTTAAGCGATTTCTTAGTGCTCCCCCTAGCGTAATGTGAAAGCTGTGAGAACGCTGAAAACTCGGGGGTTATTGTCTATGTTCAGAAAAGGGTCAATATATGTAGGGCTTGTTTGTTTGGTTCATATTATAGGGTTCGAGGGTTTAGTTTGGTTGTCTTTTACCCTTCGTTCAGGGCACGTATTGTGTGGTGGGTTGGATATCGAATTCCCAAAGGAGTTCAATAGCGAAACACTCGAAAGAAGGAATTTGAGCCAGAGGCCTACGGGTATGGCGAGTTTTCGGTGAATCTTGTGGTGACTTTTTGAATGCGAAAATGATGTGTATAGAGAATTGGCAAATGATACTCGTCTCCACAGTAGAGTTGACAGTGGCAGAGCAAATGATGTGTGTTCAAATGTTGGAAAGCGCGATGATTAAATGTTCTTCGGTCTTCAACCTCGAGGGGAGGAATCCGTCCTCTCCTGTGCAGACTTACCCTAATATTGATGAGCGCCTCCAGCTGAGTTGGTGGAAAGTGTACGAAACTAGTGCGTTTGGATGATGCAAAGCGCGATGATTAAAATATTTTCGGTCTTCAACCTGAAGGAAGTTTCTCCTATGCAGACTTAAACACTTGATGAGCGCTTTTGCCGTTGTGATTGATCGGCCTCAAAGCATGATTGTCATTGATCGGCCTTCTAATGCATGAGTCCGAATTCGATAAAGTAATTACGTGGAATGACCATAGTTGTTGTGACGACTTCACATATTTATTAATTAATTGCGAAGTAGGAATTGGGGTATATGGGTCTTGACACGAGAGTGAGCGGGACGTTGATGAGCACTCTTGTAGTTGATGAACCTCACCGTTCTCTTCAGATGAGGGTATGTATATTCCCGTTAAGGGCCAGATCCCACTACTCTGAATTATTCATATCGATGTTCAGAAATGAACAATAGAGGCTAGTGGGATGTGGGCGTAATACGCTTAAACACAGTACCTCCCCCATTTGGAAAAATAGGGAGTCCTCGTGTGGCGCTCCGACATTTTAGGAGGGCGAAACGAAAGGGTGGCCACCGATTAGAAAATCATCGGCGGCCGTCGTCGGGCCCTGCTCCCGGTTTTTTGGGAGTGTAGGGTATTTTCAACTCAATGGTGGAGGGACTGGTGTTTTTAGTGGATTGGAATGTACATATCCGGTCATTTATACGCACAATTGGAAGTCAGCTAGATGGAATGACTATGTTGAAAGTTGATAGATGCGGGAAGAGATCTCTCAGTTCTGCCCTTGATGTGCTTGTTCCCTTTTCGGGTCCTGTAGCGGTAAGTGGTGCCTATGACGTTCGATGTGCTATGAAGAATGGTGCTGATGTTTTTGTGCGCCGATCAGTGGTTGTGCACCCTCCCGTGAGCACGGTGTGTGGTTTTGCTGTGCGATTGTGGAATCTCATGCTTTTGTTTCTACATGTTTACGTGGTGATGTAATGCGACAGGAGGATTCGGACGAGGAGGAGTTTGAAGATGAGGATGATGAGGATGAGGATGAGGATGATGACGAGGATGATGATGAGGATGATGACGATGAGGAGGAATCGGACGAAGGCGAGGACATGGATGAATTGCTCGCCAAACCAGTAAGTTCTTTCAACACCGATTTATTTCTAGGAGTTTGTTAAATTCGAAGGTTTGAGGATTTGCTGCCGTTGATCCGTACCTGTGTTTTGGGAATGCTGTTGATTAGTAATTTATCGTTTGAAAAAACTGCTGCAATTTCGAATACCTTCAGTCGTCCTGAACTGAAGGCTTTATGTTGAGTGCAGACATGTCTTATTGGGACTCTGGATGATAGACGTTTCCCCTGGACCTGAAAATCTGTGATTAGCGTGCATGCAGAGGCTTGTCGAGGTGGGCATGGCGAGGTTGTAGGATTGCTTCTCTCTTTTATGAATATTGTTTGATTGATGCAAATCCTCTAAATTGTCGGTGAGAACATTGGCCTGATGACTATTCTGTGGAAAATCGACAATGGTTTTGAACAACGAAATGGATCCGACCTGCGTTTGCTGTTCGTTTTCCCATTCGAGAAACTCATTTCGATTGGTGATGTGGATTTGTCGGTTTCACTGAACTGATGGCAGGTTGTTGTTGGAAAGAAGAGGCCAAATCCTGCTGTGGAAACACCGAAGGCTGAAAAGAAGGCCAAGGTAGCCCAGGAAACGCCGACGCCCAAGAAAGGTACGACAATCGTCATCATTGGATTTCTCATTCCGTGTGTTGTATCGGTTAGCGCTCCTGAAGCGGAAGTAGAACTGGAGCTTGCAACACGAATATGCCAATTGGGGGGGCAGGGGGGTGGGTGTTGGGAGGTTGTGGTCGGAGTTGGGGGAAATAAGCGAAATAAGAGATGCTGCCACTCTGTCATGATGAAGAATTGAGTGACCGAAAAGTTGTGAGGTTTTGCTGATTGCAAACTCGAAGGGTCGAAACAAAGGTACGCTCTTGGCTTTTCTGAGCACTGTAAAATCCAAGGGCCTAAACAGAAGTACGCTCTTGTTTTTTTTTTTTTTTTTTTTTTTTTCTTGATTGTTCCCCCTAATTGCGGTGCTTTTCTTTATTGTTCCCCCTAGTTGCGATGTTCGAAAATTTTGGATTTATGTTTAACATCGAGAACATTCGCAATTGAATATATTTTGATGCGAAGGTGCTATGATGAATAAAAACGTCGCTATACAGAATTCAATGATCGAGAATTCATGAAATTTTGCTGAGCACTGGAGTATCCTAGCGCGAACGTAACGGTAGGTTTCAACGAAGTAGGATGGATAGCAAATCTTACGTCGCGGTGCTATGATGAATCAAGACGTCGCTATCCAGAACTGAATGATCGAAAACTCGTGAAGTGTCGCTGAGCACTGCAGCTACGTCGAGGCACCTTGTCTCATCGATCGGAGAGAACACATTCTCAATGGACTTCATTGATGCGATGGTGCCATGATGAATCAAAACGTCGCTATACAGAATTCAATGATCGAGAATTCATGAAATTCTGCTGAGCACTGTAGCATCGTAGCGCGAAAGTAGCTTTAGGTTTAAGGATTGCTGTCTCTGGTGTGCCATGATGATTAAAAACGTCGCTATCCAGAACGTGATGATAGAAATCACGTGAAGATTCGCTGAGCACTTCAGCTACATCCAGGCGCCTGTCCAGCGATCGGAGGGATATGATTTCCCTACGCCAGAAAAGTGAACTGGGTACGCAATCGGAGGGATATGACTTCGGTATCCCAGAATCGTTTTAGAGAGGACAAGTCTCGCTGTAGTATGCAATTGTGAACAATCCATGAAGTCCTGCTGAGCACTTAACACCCAAGCCTGAGTGTTGCAGTCTTCGCGATTACCCATTGCAAGTATGCGGAGTCCCCTTCGGGTTGGTCAATCTTTGGGCCACCCTCGCTCATCGAGCGCTCCCCACCTCTTACAATAAAGATCACACCTATCTCAATAGATTTCGTTGAACATCGGCCATCTTCGAGTTTGATTAGCCTATCCAATCATCGCTAGTTTTAAGTATCCTTTTTACCTCGCGTTCCAGGTATTGTATCGTCTGGGAAAAGGCTTAGCGAAATTCCAGGACAATGAAAACGTAAACGGTTGCTGACACTGTGCCATGATGAATAAAAACGTCGCTATCCAGAACTCCATGATCGAAAACTCGTGTAGTTGTTCTGAGCATTGTAACAGTCGAGCGCCAGAGAACGTCTAATCAAGAGTTGTAGCAGTCACATATTTTATTAATGCCCCTGGAGGGATCTCGTCTAATCAAGTGCCTGCCCAGCAAGTGAAGGTCGTTTATGCGTGAAGACGTAGAGATTACATGTGGTTATGTGTCTTCTTACAAGCAGTTCTATCCACTCTGAGATGCAGTCGAGTGATTTCGATCGGGATATTTTAATTCTAGCGCGCATGGATAAGTAACAGACGCTGAGGAGGGTAACTGAATCTTTCCGGGTTCGCTGGTGCAAGTGACCACGGGACAGTTTATGCTTGCGTAGAATGAGATGTATGAGAGAAGTCTGCTTTTGCTGGCTGGTAATGACATAGACCCCTACTCCAAGAATGATGCGATTGGAATGCAGTGATGTTCATTTAAATCTCGTTAACCTGATCGTCATGAGTGACCCAAACAAGTCTGAGCATTCCGTGATCGATTCTGTAGCAGTTTTTAGGGGAACCAATTTCTTTGTAGCAGATAATGTTTTTTTCTGTTCTTAGGAAACATTTTCTTGTGTAACAGGTGATATGGTTATTGGACTAAGTAATGTAGTGATGCCGATTTCGAATTTCGTTAACCTGACAGCAATGATAGATGCAGATTAGTCTGCGAAATTCGTACCCAGCGGCCTGTAGAGATTTTGTGTTATGATGACCTCTTGTTTGGAATGCAGTGATGTTCATTTCCATCTCGTTAACCTGACCATCATGATAAATGCAAACAAGTCTGAGCATTCTGTGAGCGATTCTTTCAGTGTTTTGGGGAAATTATTATCATTTCATGTAGCAGGCAAGGCTATTAGCGAGGCTTTTTTAGGTTCTTTGAGGAAACGTCCGTATGTGGCCAGCTAATATTGTTATTTAGCCGGGTTGTAAGGAATGCAGTGATGTCGATTTAAATCTCGTTAACCTGACAGTAATGATAGATCCAAATAAGTCTGAGCATTCCTTACCCAATGGCCTGTTGATGACCTTGCGTCGTAGCTCGATTCACTGTCTCGATTCACTGTGTGGTAACTCGATTCACTGTCTCGATCCAAAAAAGTGTATTTCCTAGGAAATCACACCGAATCTCTATCGCTCGCGAAAATGTTGTGTTCAGTCCCTCGCCAGTGGATTCTTGATCGGCTTCGCGGTCGGGTGTAAGATGCTTTATCTGCAACTGTACATGGGTTCCAACGCTCTTGAGTCATGATCGTCGGCTTTTGTTATACCCCGAGCACAACGATTGCGATGGTTAGCGGAGAATATAATGGCAAATCCGAATCCGGGCACCGGGTCGGTGCGGACGTCAGGCCAGATCTGCGTCTGGCGTCTGAACTGCGCCAGACTCGTTTTATATAAGGAGTAAAAAAAACGTTTCTATGTCGTTCCCTCGGATTGGCAACGAATTTCGACATGGTGTTTAGGCAAACGAGATTTTGTATTGCAATGCTGCATAAATCGCTTTTTTCATTTTTTTATCTTTTTTTCCGAAGGTCGTGTTTTTTTGTTGGTGGCGGGGTCTGGGTGATGCATCCGGACGCTCTGGACCGTACACCAGAGACCTAGACCTTCTGTACCGCGGTTCAGACGTCCCGATCGTTTCTATTGAGAATGCAGAAGACACGAAGGCTATGCTCCTGGAGGGCGAGTGAATGAAGCGTTGAAAGTTAGCTTCAAGTAGCAGCTGCGAGTCTATACTGAATAATGCGATTCGTGCACTTGTTCCCAACTATGATGTTATGCAGACTGACCCCTTCCTCGTGTATGTGTGCAGATGGCAAGGGAAGCAAGAAGGACAAATCTGAAGGCAAGGACAAATCTGACGGCAAGGATGCAAAACCCGCAGGAAAGGATAAGCCAGCAAAGGATGCTGCGAAGGCTGCTGGTGGGAAGGTAATGTAACGCTGCGGAACGATGAAACTGCAACGGTAGCATGGGGAATCGAGTAAGGAAAAGGGGGGCAACAGACAGCGTGCATGTGAATTGCACTGAGTCGTCTTTGAACTGAATCGAATGTAATATCCTTTAATATGTGTTGTTCAGTCTATGAGAGGATAGAACGATCGATTGTATTTTCATATCAATGCAATGGCATGTCTATTTCGCCGTTTTTTTTCGGAATCAGATATCTTCCTGTTTATTGTAGTTAAATCCGGAGGGGGTGGAACAGCACACGTATTCCTTGTACGAATGTATCTGGGTGAGTGGGTGGTACAGCACACGTATTCCATATACGAAAGTATCTGTGTGAGCTCGTCTTCGGGTTGGTATACAGAATAGCAAGTGCGAGTGGAAGTTGGTACTTAGTTCGTGTTCTCTATGCAAGTGCAAGTTAGTATTCCCTATAGCAATCCGGAGACAAGTGCAGAAGTTTTGACCTTTCCGTGGAGCAGCTGGTCGCCAGGCAACGAGGAAGTGGTTGGAGAATGCTTGTTATGCAGATGTGGTGGTTCTTTTGGTACTTCTCAAACAGTAGGCTTTCAACGATTAATGCTTGTGCTTGTGTGCGAACCGTCTTTCCTCCTTTATACGAGTGCAAAAAGTTGTATGTTTGGATCTGTTTTTAATGATGTCAAACACAGGTTCCATCTGTGTGCTGAACTTTTCATTTTGTGTTGGTTTTCAGGACGCTTCCACACCGAAGAAGGCCTTCACCTGCAAAGAATGCAATAGGTGAGTAGAAGTCACACGACCTTGACCCTCTGGAATGCAAAGTCGTGTGTCTATTGAATCTTTATTCGATGGTGTCACAATGAACACGCGTGTAAGTGAATGTTTCACGAAATAAATGTCATGACCCTTTGTCAACTCCCAATGCGAAAACCCAAAGAGATAATGCCAGTCTATTGGCACCAGGAAGAATTGGGAGAACAGAAAGAAGAATGAAGAGTATGAGAAAAAGAAGAGTGCACGACGATTGGACTAATGGTATTTCATCCTCTCAATGTCTCCGTCTTAGTATCAACAAACAGCGAACGGAGGTGGCAGAATGTCTCCGATTATTCCTGCCCTTTCAGCCAGCGCACAAAGAATCCTTCTTGCAGTCATAAACTCGCTTCTAACTTGGTGGCAGTCCTAGCTAAGGCGGAACCTCAGGTGTAGAAATGATGATCAAAGAAAAAAGCAACGTCTACATTGCCTCCCCCATCGCTAATCGTTATAGCATTGCTCTATGTTGAAGACCCTGCACAGTCGGTACCCACTTAAGGGCGCTTTGCCGTTGCCTTCCTCCCGAGCGTTAGTCGGAGTTGAGGACCTAGCAGAACCGGTACCAACACAGTTGTCTTGGCCAGAAGTAAGTCGCCTTCCTGCTGGCGTCCTTCCTCCTACCGCCTATGCATCTCCACTGCCTCACCTCCGAAGCTTCCGCAACCTGGGCCTACCTCTTACCACCTCCCATTACCACAAATTACCTTGCCTCCCATGACCCGATATCACGGATGGCTTCCCTCCCGCCTTTCAGCTTCTTCTCCAAGTGCTCTAAATGCCCGCTTAAAGAATGAACCGGATTGTACCGCTCATCACACTACATCCGCTGTAATGTGGCTTGTCACACCTCCCGTACCTACTGATCTGGGACTACCCAGCAGTAGCCGTCTCACCCTCTGCTTACGCTAGGCTTACCTGCTTCTTTTGCAGGAGCATCATTTCACCCTGCAGCTCCGCGTCACAGCCTGTAGTCTAGTGCCCTCCTATGAACGGGCCTGAACACTTCCATTACTCGTTTTTTTTTACAGGACTACCCACTAAGCGTAACAGTTCACAGAAGCTGTTACGGAGCCTCGCAAAATTGTTGGAAAATCCTATCAGATCTCTGGACAATCTACTTTCGTCCCTGGCCCTACAACCCCCCTTCCCAGAGCCTGCCTTATTTCCGTCCTGAAGCATGCCATCTCTGCTAGTCTCTCTCCTACCTCGTCCCTGTCCGAGGCACAGCACACACAAGCCAACGGAATTAGCTCAAGCTCCCAGCAGTAAAGATCGGGGAAAGCGATGACACAACCAAAATGCAGATACTGCTACGAATGAATTCTGCAGTTGGAAGTTGTGTTATCACTTTCAACACCCTCGGAAGGATCTCGTTAATAATACTCTTTGAAATGTACTTTAAATTGTTGCTGTTCTGAGGACGTGAACCCGCGGCTTTCCACGTACTTGAGGTATGAACTTGAAAAACTTTTGCTGTTCTGAGGATGTGAATGTTGACATAGGTCACTATTATTTATCTCTAAGGGTCTCGTTTTTGTAGGGCAACGCCTGTTGCACGGGAATTGCCCCCCACCTTAGTTTCTCGTATTTACTCGTTTCAACCGTCTGTTTGAAACGTGAGAATTGTCTCCTGTTTTCGCAGTTTAAATGTTGTACATCCGTTTGCCTGCGCGTAAGGGCGTATAGCTGCTTTGTCTTTTTTGGTCCATGTTCGTCGTTCATGTGCTGACGAAAATATGAACGCTTTGTGGCCTGCCTGCCTTGACCAGGGGTTTTGCAAGCGAAACTGCTCTTCAATCGCACAAGCAAGCCAAGCACAGTTAGCTGCAGCGGAGAAATTCTATTTTTGCAGCTCGGTTTTTACTTAGGTTGTAAGTTTCGTTCTCCATTTATTTGGGTTCGGCGGGAGGCGGAAGTCGACGATCAAGACGGCTCGATGGCTCCTGGCACGGTATCTGTTGGCTGGCTCTTTCTCTGTCAGCACGGGCCTCCAAGAGATTGTGGCTTCCGCCACAGGCTCGGTCGGATTGTTTCTCTCTCCGTGTCGGGATTCTGATTCGAAGCTTTATCGAGCGCGCAGGCTTTGGTAGTAGTATTCGGACGGAAGAGGAGAGGTACTACATGTATATGATCCTACTTGATGATGGCGTATGCTTTCCCATCTCTTGCGTAGTGGCTTGAAGAGTAGGGTCTCATTTGGGCTTGTCGTTTGGACGCATGGGAGTTCGACGTCGCATTTGTTAGCATGAGGATTTTGTAGCTTTTTCGATTCGAGAGGTAGTAGTGAAGTCAGCATGTCTTTTCTTGTTCTATTCGGACTGCCAGTTTAGTGTCCTGATCGTTATTTAGTGAAGAGCTTTTCGTTGGGGATGGCGGCAGCATCGCGGCGTGGGTTTGGTGGAAGTCGTCAGTCCGTTGTTTGTATTGTGGAAACCTCATGCTGTGAGGAAGACTAGTTGTCTCTGGCAGTATCTTAAGGACGGAATGCATCGCAGAACTGATCCTGGGATGTTTGTTTCACAATTGAGCAATGTTGTGCAGTGAGTCAACGTGTTCTTACTTGGAATCGATTGTAAAAATATTGCAGTGAAACTGTCTGTTGGGAATGTGAGGTTCCGAGTGGTTATTCACAGCAGTTGCTTCCTGAGTGTTCTTTTTCCTAATGAGCATCTTGCGATATCTTAGCAACGGTTTTGTTTGTTGCAGGCATGAAGCCTGGTGTGTGTGCACACTTCATGCCTTGGCGCAGCTAGACGACCCGGTCTGCTGCTGGAGGCCCTCATAATGAGCTTTCGGTGTCGGTACTCTACGTCGTTGGCGCAGCTAGACGACCCGAAATGTGTGGGAGGAAATGTGTGGGAGGAAATGTGTGGAGGAGTCTAAAAACTTGTGAACGTGCCTGCTTTCGCCTTTCTTAGTGTATGCCATCTGGTACAAGCAGATGGTAAGAATGCGAAAATGCGGATCTGTCTGTTCCGAAATGCAACAATTGTGTGCGATGTGAAAATGCGGATCTCTCTGTTCCGAAATGCAACAATTGTGTGCGAGTGCCCGGTATAACAGAGCCGAGTTTCCCAGCTATATGCGTGTGGACATTGACCGTGCATTAATCGGGCGAACGACACGGTCGACTGTAGGCACTGATCGGGCGAAGGACACGGTACATATTTGATAGATGACACGGTCGACTGTAGGCACTGATCGGGCGAAGGACACGGTACATATTTGATAGACGAACGACGCATGCAAAAGCAACATCTGCATTTGAAAGCAACATCTGCTTCTTTGTTATTTTTTACTTTCTTTCCAGCCTGTAGTTTGTTTGTTGATGTTGTTGCGGAAGGGTGAGGTAGTGATTGTGGTGTGTTTATGTTTTTCCATGTTCGCCATACACCACTACAAGAGTTGGTGGGGGGGTGCACGGGGCTGATTGACCCGGTTTTCAACACGGCTTTGAGCAGGTGCTGCTCATCACCAACAGACGAGAGCACTTTGCCGAAAGTTAACTATGGGGCAAAGGTCCCAGCAAAAAAAATAAAAAAATAAAAGCAAATCCAAAAAATCGGAAAAGTTATGGAGAAATATGAACTAAACAACTTTTGCCTCAGGGCTCGGGCCACTCTGGTGGCCTACTTTTAAGCGGATATGAAAACAATTAAATGCAATCCAGGGCACAGGTACATTCTAATGCATCCACCACTACCGGTTCTTCGACTATATATTCCTTGTGTTTTCAGCACACCCATGCTTGTTCTTACTACAAACGGTTTGGATTTACTGTAATGGATTTCAGTTATCGAATTTGGTGTTTTGTTATTCCCAGTCGTTACAACACACGAAGGGTCCAATGGACAAAATTGTTGTATTTGAATGGGTGTGGAAGAATTTCATGGTTCTTCCTAGTATGGATTTCAAGGTCTTTTGATCTGAACGGTTGCCTGATCTAAGGAGGGATTCATTGCATTAAGCCGTGTTGAAAACCGGGTCACACTTTAGCTTCTTAGCTTCTTGCTCTGTGAATGTACAGATTTATGCCTTGGCGACCCTGATCTTCGTATATTCGTTGGTGAAGGGTGTAGTGCCATTTGCGATTATTTGATCATTTTTGTCCGGGCAGGCGCGCATCGGGAGCTGGTAGCATTTGGCTGGATGGATTGGACTTTTCATGTGGGGCCTGTTGTGCTCCTGGGCAATGGGACCGGTATTCCACACCATGCATGTTAGGACTATGCGTACGGGAGGTCTCCATGACCGCTTAGGATGTCGACCGACGAGCGATATGTGAGATAGGATCCATCCATCGCGTGCAATGTCTTTATGTGTCCGAATCTTTTGTGAGGCGTAATGCAGTTGGCAGCTGGAGCTCAAAACACTGTTCAGATTTCGGGCACTTCGTAAGGCGATTGCAGTCGTGATTGGGCGATTGAATGAAGAGGAATCTCTGTGAGCATTATAGTTGAGCAACAAGAAGTGGTGCTTGTCTGTTGATGGTAACCGCCTCTTGGTTAGTTATATACGAGTTAACTGCTCTTGCGCAGGAGGAAGCATCTCCCTGGGCACGTTTTATGTTTCTGTTTTGTACTGTCATCGGGTAGGGTAAAAGCCGGTGGGGGATCGTAAGCAAGAAGAGTCTGCCCTTGCAAAATGGATATCCACTCAGCAGGTTTACTGGGGCGAAGAGAGTACCGACTGTACCAAATGCCCCAACGACATAATGAATTGAGTTGACGTTGTCGTTGTTTTTCCTTTGTTGCGACTCGTGAGGGAAGTGGGATGTATAGTTGTACGTAAGCTTCAAGCATATGATTAATCCGAGGTACTATCGTAAACCACCAGTACCTGGCGCAGCTATCGAGTCCGAGCCTCGGCCGACCGGTAGGCCGACCCGTCCCGAGGCTCGGACTACCGGGCGCAGGCATACCGAACGTTGCCATGAAATGCACCAAAAAAACGGAAACAGAAAAATGAAAAAGAAAAGAAATAAGAATAACGAACGGAATCATTCCCGCTTTGTGTCGGAAACAAGAAGATGAATCTACCCGCTTCGGCAGAGAGAGAGAGAGGGGGGGGGGGACCTGCACGGAGGGTCGCGGCGAACTTGCCGCCCCTCCCTCTTTCTCTCTCTCTCGTCTCGAAAAAACGAAACGGGATGCATTTCCCGTTTCGTTTTTTCGAGACGAGAGAGAGAGAGAGAGGGAGGGCTCTCTCTCTCTCTCTCGCTCTCTCTCTCTCCCATGCGACTTTCCTTCTGTGTATTTCTTTTTTTTTCGTTTGTGTATTTCTTTTTCTTTTCCCTTTGTTCTTGTATTGTTTTTTCTGTTGTAGTGTCATCTCTACAGAACCGGGGCCCGGCCTTAGCGCAACAACCGGGCCTTCCCTTGGTCGACCCCCCCTAAAAAAAGAATATCAGTCTATAATTCTTCCTAAGCAACTGTCCACATACAATAAAGAAGCAATTAAAATAAAAAAAAGAAATAAGCGCCTCAAAGGCACTCGGCGCGTATATGGGAACGCCCGCAGCCGATAGCTGAGTGAGGTACTGGTGGTTTAACCTTTTGCAATCTATACTTTGTCCCTTTCAAAGAATGGACATTGCCATTCTGAGACGAAGCCGGGTAATGGCCCCAGTATCTCAACGACCTGTGTAACTCTATATGGGACCTGGTTCCCAGCATGTGCTGTTCCCCCACGAATAGACTGTCCCACCCCGTTCCTTTTCCTACATCCCTTGCAGTGTCAGTTCAGCTGAAGTTTCTTTATTCGAACTGCCTCTGTGACTGCCTCGTGCCGTGAGTGAAGATCTGTGGAATAATCCTTCAGGGTATTTGGGTGGGTGAGGGTCGTCGGAGTGGGATCGAGTTTGGGCAGAGGTGCAGGAGCTATAAAATGTCTAGGGGTGGGCAGGGTGGACTCCGATGCTGGCTCACCTGGGTGTGGGTTTGTAAGAATCTCAAATCGGGCTGGATGTGGACGGGGCATGGTGTGGGGAATTTTTAAACATGGTGAAAGCCCAAAGGAACACTTTGGAACGCTACTGTTTTTTTTCGGTACACATACACTGACACTCACACACGCACAGACTTCAACGAGTTCACGGATGCCAACGTAGCAGTCTAACGTAATTGTCGGGCATCGGTAGCTCTGTGCGGCGAGTGGGACCACCATATATCTGTATGTGGTGTACATCATGGAAGCTTTTGTGTGTGCTCGTGTGGCTTCAATACACCTTAGGGTGGAGTGTGGTGCATCCACATCTTGAAGGGGAATAAAGCAATAGCTCCAGTTAAAGGCAAACCAAAAAGGGTAGGAGAGGAGTAAGATGTGAGACATTGCCACCCAAACCTTATATGACAGTTTCCTGTCATACAGCTGTCCATAAGCATTCCGTCGCAACACACAACTGGATGTTCTCGCATGCATCTGGATGTTTTCGCCTTGCCAATCGCCATAAGATTGGCCTGGGGCAGACATGCTTCAAGGCTTCATTCTGGTCGTCCTTGACTTGATTGAGAGTTTAGCGAGGCACCTAATTGCTTTAGCCCTTGCCGTAGCCCTGGGAGGTTGCTTGATTGCACTGTTGGCTTGCGTCCCTTGACCTCGGGTTGGCCGGGGACGCTGCTGGTTTCTGTACGGTTGATTTGCAAAATTGCTTGGTTTCTTATTAGTTTCGGGAAGGTGCGAGATCGAACAGCATTGCAGATGAACCTGCAGGTTAGAAACCCAAAATGGCTTGCGTCCCATGTTGCAGACGCTTTCTTCTTAGCTTCGTTGTAGACCCTGTGGATAGACGTGTGAGTGGCAAATGTCTATGCATGTTGCTGGTGATCTGTTCGCAAGAGCGTAGCGTAGTTTTTTTTTTTTTTTTTTTTTTGATGCATAGTGTAATGATTTTTTGTTCATTTGTTCGTTTGGGTTGAATCTTATTGGTATGGCAAAGTATAATTTGATTTACCCGTAGTACCTACGAGGAGATTGTAATGATTGTTATTGTGTGCTCACTGAAGAAATGCGATAAAGTCTTTGAATCATTGTCCAATGCGTGAATCAAAATGCCTAGCGGCATGATCAAAGCGGATGTTCGTAGACTTTGTCGTCCTTCAGGCTCTTAAATGACATAATCCATGAAACATTTAATTCATCACTTCAAGCTTTACACGGAGGGTGTGTCTATACCAACTTCTTCTACGTACACCTGTATAGAAGCAGCTAAAGGAAAATTGGATTGGGTGTATATCCTCGAGGGTAGAGCTTGGTGATAAAGTTAAATTATTGTCTACGCTTTACGTACACCTGTGTAAAAGCAGCTAAAGGAGAATTGGATTGGGTGTATATCCTCGAGGAGAGAGTTAAATTATTGTCTACGCTTATCAGTCTTTGGAAAACCAATATCACAACGGAAGCACCTAAATATGGATTTTGTGATTAAGCCGGTAAACCGCATGCCAAATTGGCTTGGGTGAACTTAGATATTGCAAAGATTCTTCAAAAAAAAACAACAGATTGTACAAGGTGCTTGTAATTATATCATACGATCTGTTGCCTACTCGTCAAATGGTTCATTAGGGTTGAATTTCATGTTTGATGGCTTTCCGTTTGGGAATTTTGGGCGAGCTTATGGAAGAGAAAAGGGAAACTGGAGATCAAATGTATCAACAATTCAATTTTTTGGAGTAAAAAAATGTAGAAGTGTTTGGTGAGGTAAAAATGATTTTGCATAAACAAATAAAAAGGATATGTAAAAATAAACTAGTTTGGACTGAATTAACACAAATATGGCGAAGATATGGGGATGGACAATAATCGCATAGAAGTTTTTTTTCTTCTTACTTAAATAAATGGATGCTACTTTGAGACTGTTCTCAATTTTGAAAATGAATCCAGACATTGTGAATATCATAGTCAAAGAAATTTGCCATTTTGAGAAAGTTTTCTTCATAACGGAGGAGGCATTTTTTTCAAAGTTGGGCGAGGTACTGTCGGTTCAAGTGGATTGTACTTTTGTCGCCAGACTTCGCGCCGTCGACTTCCACATTTTACTTGCACGTTTTACTTGCACGTTTTACTTGCACATTTTACTTCCACATTTTACTCTAGAGGCTCAAGAGGGTTCACCCTCCATGGAAAATTATCTCCTAAACCACCAGTACCTTTCCCCACTTGACTCGTACCACCAGTACCTCTCCCCCCTTGAATACCGATTGACTTTCCAAGGGTTTGGGTACCTGAGGGTTCATTTTTCTTTGGTGCACACAGTGATCTTAGGTACTGCTGGTTTAACTGTTGAAGATATGGTGGTGGTAGCCTCTCAGTCTGTTTGGGAGACTAGTGTGAAGTACGGTGACAAGGGTCATTACACACAGAATTTTTGATAACCGACTCTGTAACCTAGCCTGATGGGAGCGTGAGACCTGGAAGAGCTTCGGCTCGTGCTGAAAACAGCCATGCTCGTGGTGGTCGAAGGTGGATTGAATAGGTTTCACCTATCTGATTCGTGGTTGGGAGGCTTGTTGACACACACTTTCGCGGCGGTTCAAAAAAAAAAAGATGTATCAATGGGATGCTGGACCCTGTTTCCAGCAGGTGCCACTCCCCACCAATAGATGGAGCAGCCCGACAGGTAAACCCTCTATGCTGACGATTGTCTTACCACCGTCAGGATAGAGGGTTTACACAAGGAAAGGGGTTTCCATATTTCTCTCCCTCCTTCTGCTGCTTCTGATGTTGGAAGCTTTTTTGGGAGACACATTGGTGTGAAGTAAGGTGGGGGGGGGTTGTTGTTTACACTTGCGCTTTAAAAACAATAAATTTGGACTTCCTTTTTCCTCCCTCGGTCCGCTTGTTACGAGTTGTCAACATAGTTTTGCCTTCCTGTTAGATCTTGAAGGCTGTCTGTACGTAGTATGTCCTACTTCGATGTTGGAAAGAATTAGGTCACTTAGGGTTTAGGGTTTAGACACTGAAAATTGCTATAGATGTTAAACCACCAGTTCCTTCCCCGGCCATTGATGCTGAGCCTAGAAATGACCTAAAAAGAAAAGGCCCTGTGCACAAATTATTGCTGAGCCACTTAAGATTCCCTGCACGTCAATTTTTGCTTACCCGCACATGGGGAAAAGAGGGTGGCGGGTCTGCTGCTGGTGGCGGGTCTGCTGCTGGAGGTCCTCACGAAAAAAGAACTGACAGGCAATCAATTTCTAAGGAAAAAAAAAAGAAAAAAGAAAAAAGAAAGAAAACAAAGTAAATAAACTAAAAGCAAGCTACTCAGGCGTTGTCCACTTGTCCACCGGCCCAGACCAGATACATTCTGGACAGAGCTGCATGAGAATACCGTGACAAGAACTGGGCTGACAAGCAATAGATTGCTCCCCACCTCGCTAGCTTTGTGGTTTCATAGATTGCCATTCTTTTGGTGTGTAGAGGTGAAATCGATGCTTGAAAAAATAGAAAAAAAAAGTATCATTGTTGGCTCTGTGCCCCGGTGTGCGCAAGACTTACCTGTCTGCCCGTTCCTTTCTCTTTGCGTATGTAGCCCATTGTAGAGGTGAAATTGGTGCTTCAAAAAATAGGAAAAAAAAGTGTCATTGTAGGCACTGGGCCCCAATGAGAGTAGCTATTGCACTGCAGTGTTCCAAAAAAAAAACGTGATAAAAAAAAAGAAGAAGACTACCTCAGCCAGTATTCAAACAGATGTTAAATTGTCTTCTTAGGTGAGGGACGAGTGGTAGCAGGCACTGGCAGCTTCGGGAGACATCTCCTCCTTACGGACGCCGCTTCACAAAAACATCCGCCACCATTTCTCTGCAAGCTATGCGCCAGTATGAAGTTGGATGATCGAGATCACATTGCCCTAAGGGGAGGAGTCTTCTAGCAACAAGGGAGAAGATTGACATCAGAAAACCTGTATTTCCACCCACTGTGTGCTGCCCGGGGCACCTTGGTTTCCTCGGCGGCCCTGCCGGCTAACGGCCAGGAAAACTCCATGTGGGAAAAAAAAATACACCCTCCAAAAAATCCCGGAAAAAAACTATGTTGGGAACTAGGGACAGTTGTGCAGCAAACATGTAGAATAAAAATGCAGCCTCCAAAACTAGACAGTTGTGCAGCAAAAATGTGGAATAAAAATACATCCTCCGAAAAATCCGGGAAAAGAACTACATTGGGAAAACAAGGGACCGTTGTGCAGCAAAAACGAACTTAACAACTTTGGCCTCCAGGTCACATCAAAATTCTTTACCAAATTGGATCAAATGTTCCGGGACCACTCTTGTGACAAAGATCGGTACACTGCAAGGACTCCAAAAAAATCCTCCAAGGGGAATGGCAAGTGTGAAACTGTGTATAGAAACTCCGGACATACCGAAGGGCAGACAGATGAAAATGTACAATGTACAGAAATTGCGTCATGAGAGATGAAATGGCACGATATGTACAGAAATTGCGTCATACAAGTAGACTAGCCGGGCAAGCGGTAAGGCGGACACACCGTACACAACAGAGCCTAGACTAGACTCTGTTGTTTTGGATACAATTTGAGAATTCTACTGCTAAATTCCAATTTGTTGAGACAATACGATGGCTTCCTTACTCAACTTATCAAATATCAATTTTTATATAGAAGGTCCAGATGGGATTTCTTTATTCTTTGTGGTGTTGGCGCCAGCACATACATGCCTACACTGAGTACCTTTACCCCCTTTTATGGCCGGGCAAGCAGTCCGGTCGGATGCATGTTTAAACGGAACGCAAATGAAATGAAAATGTGCAACGCTACAACGATTGCAGAATTTACGGCCACCGCTTCTTGCAAGTGGCAGCATCACATGCCTGTAATAATACAATGAATGCACTAACTGCAGCCGTTCCGCTTCGGTGGGCCGTCGACATCACATCTTTTCACCCAGCCACAGGAGGAGAGAGGACTATGGAAAGCATACATCGCGCCAAACTTATCTCTGACATCGAAGTGAAGTGTTTGAACTGCCCCTGTACATCAAGATCCAATTGGTACTTTCCACAGCGATTCTACATTAAAGTGGAATTTATTGCACACTGATTCTCCTCCACATTGTCTAGCATGGAGGAGGGCTGCTACCACTGCCCACCAGACTACCTTCGTTCCTGACACCGACCTACACAGGCTTTCTGTCAAAGGACACTAAAACTGTACCTTTTCATGGCAGGCCTGGGCCTTTCTTGCCGAATTTAAAAGGCCTTCTGTCAAAGCTGTACAGGTGACTACGTACTGACTTCAGAATACCAGCACCTTTTGTTTTGGCACTAAAAGAGGAAGCGAGGATGAATTCATTCAAACTATGCATTGCATTACCGTGTGCAAAAATCTGATGCCATACCATCCTGACAAGCCGCAATAACATTGACACCTTTGTGACCTTTGCAACAACTAGCCACAAAAAGTAAAGCATCCTACTTTGGGTACTGCACAAAATGATGCAAGACGCCTACTCCTGAGGTACGCTCACCTTCCTTCATTGAAAGGAATGAACAAACATGGATCACCTCTCTCTCTCTCTCACACACACACACACACACACACACACACACACACACACACACACACACACACACACACACACACACACAGAGGTATATGTGGAAAACCTTTCTCTCTCTCTCTCTCTCACGCACACACTCTCTCTCTCACACGCACACTCTCTCTCTCTCTCTCTCTCTCTCTCTCTCTCTCTCTCTCTCACACACACACACACACACACACACACACACACAAACCTGAAAGGGAAGACTAGTGTAGGTTGCAACGGTCAAAATAGCTCATAGCCAGGGAACCTGCTATTTTCAGGCTGACACAAATCAAGCCAGAGATACGAGAAGCCAGCAACTCCTTCGTAGAGGGAGTAAGGACGGTCCCCACCATGCATCTTCCCTGTCCGTATAAGCTCCTGCCCCCTGGTGCGACGACAAACGATTATACAGGACACACAATACCATTTTCAGATGAAGGGCAATTATTTCAAAGACAGCACTGAGTTCATCAGTCAGCAAACCCACCCATAACTTTTTGTTCGTTCCAATTTCCTCCATTTTCAGTCACAATCCGGTCATAACACATTCAACCACCGGGATCTCCCATGTTTCCTGTTTTTTTTTCTTTGTTTTTTTTATAATTCCAATTCCACATAGTGGACAAAATCACTCCACCTGGGGACAGGACCCATTAGAGACGTTTTACGACGACTTGCTGGCGTTTTCAATCACGTGCGGCCTTTTGTGACACATACAGTCCATGGATGGAGATTGATATCCCCAGCCTGCCTGTTTGTGACACTTCACGTGAAGTTTCGTGGCCGGGGGGTGTCAACCAATCTGCGCTCCGGATTGAAAGCATTTTTGCCCATTAGATAGGCTTACTACTTCATTTGAAATTTTCTTTTTAATTAGAATTCCACTCACTGTTCTCCGGATTGAAAGCATTTTTGCCCATTTTTGAGGTAGGGGGCGATTTTGCAACAATTCCTCGTTGCTTCCTCGTTGCTGTCAGCCGCCATCTGATCGGCAAAGGAGAAACACAACTTTCAGAGGACGCAGCCCATTGGCTGACCGAAGAACCCATCCTCAAAAAAGGCGTCGAATTCGCTGCCTCGTTGCCCATTGGCTGACAGGAGAGTCAAAAAACCTTTTAGCAATCCAGAGAATGCTTGGCTTTCGTTAATCCGCAGAAAACGAGGTTTTAAAATCTAAAAAAATCGGGAAACCCATTTTTTTTTAAATGTGAAAACAGCGTCACACACGTTGTACAACACTGCTCGTGGGTCCCGAACCCTGGGGAGTGCAGTCGCAAGGGGCTGAAACTCAAAGGAACCGACGGGGGCCTGCACAAGCCGTGAAGCATGTGCTTTGACTCGATACAACGCACCAACCTTACCAGCCCTTGACATATGAAAGAAACTCCTCATAAGAGTGAGTGGGATTTACTTATACTTCGTACAGCTTGCTGCATGGGTGTCGTGAGCTTGTGTCGTGACATGCTGGGTTAAGTCCTATAACGAGCGCAACCCCCGTACAGAGCTTGTGTCGCGACATGTTGGGTTAAGTCCTATAAAGATTGCAACCCCCCGTACAGTTGCTGCATGGTTGCCGTAAGCTTGTTTCGTTAAGTCCTATAACAAGCACAACCCCCCTTCAGGTGGTGCATTGTCGTCGTGAGCTTGTTTCGTTAAGTCCTATAACAAGCACAACCCCCCTTCAGGTGGTGCATTGTTGTCGTGAGCTTGTGTAGTGAGATGTTGTGTCGAGTCCTGTAATGAGCGCACGGGGGCCTGCACTAAGACGTCGCAACGATGTGCTGCACTCACAAAAAAACTGCGAGTCCGACAAGCCACACCCCTTTGAGATTGCAGCAAAGCGGTGCTCACTCATATAACTTCACAACCCTTCCTGCTGACAGCTACCCAGCTGACCGGCATCCCGACAGGTGCTGCCTAATTTCCACACAACTCTATCCGTTTTCCATTGAACCGACAGTGCCGACACCATAACGTGCGACACTGAATGAGCCCATCCACTGAAATTTCAGTGGCCTTTAGAGTTTACTTCATGGCTCATGTCAAATAAATCACCTTGCGCAGGGGTGTACACTGTACAGCATGCTCTCGCTACAGATGGCAAGGCACATATGACCTGGCGCCTAACGACTGGGCGTTCCCCTCTTCGACACGGGGTGATAGCAATACAGGTTGCCCTCTGACAAACTGTTAGACCAATCTGTTTATCCCGCCCTGCAGTCAGCGGACGACAAACGACCCCCAGGCAAATCCGCAGTGGAACGCAAATGACCCCGGGATTCGTGTGTGTGCCGTGCACGGCACACACAGGAGAACACATCCAGTATGAGTATCCACTTCCCTCTTCTTTTTCCTTTTCCTTTTTCTTTTTTAATAATTACCTGTCAGAAATACTCAAATGTCCCTTCTTGTGTTAATATCACTCTCTCTGGGGTGAAGTCCCACCGCCCAAGCTGAGCTTAGAAAACGCAACGGTGTGACACCATTTCGACATTTAGAAATTCGAAACAAGAAATTGAAAAACAGAAAAAACCCGCTAGAAACCTAGGCTACCAGCCGGGCCGCCCGGGTCCCGGGTGCGGCGGGTGGCCAGCCCGTGCAAGGACCAAGGAAGGTCCCAGAAAAAAAAAAAATAAAAAAAAATCCGGAAGAAAACTATGTTATGCAGAAAACTAAACTCAACAACTTTTGCCTCAGGGTCACATCGCAATTCCTTACCAAATTTAAATTATAAAATAAAACTTTACAATAATTTATTTATTTTTAATTTTTTAGTTTTTAATTTTTTTTTGGCCCGGCCGGGCAAGTGACCCCCGGCCACTCTGGTAGCCTCGCTTTTTTTTTTTTTTTTTTTTTTTTTTTAAACAGCCCATCGGTGCTAGCGGTGCTGGTAGCAGCAGACACCGGTAGCACCTGGGGGGCTCCATCTATTGGTGGGGAGCAGCACCTGCTGGAAACCGGGTCCAGCGTCCCTTACATATACCCAGATCAGCTCACATATTTGACAGTGTGCTCCTGCCAGCATTGATTACCCTGAGAGTTCAGGGGATTGACTGAGCAGGAGGTCGGGAAACAGCTTTTCGGCGTTTTCGCCTTATTTTTGATAACGTAACTCGGAGAAATGAAACACGTCTGGAACAGTCGGAGTGAACGTGTCCGTGAAAAAGGGATGCTCCCCTTGGTGAGGGGACAGGAGCTCACCATTTGTAAAATGGACAGGGACGACATGGATGGCCAAATGCATTCATTGCCCAGAGAAGGAAACAAGTTCTATGCCAGAGAGCCAAACACCGCTGTCAGAGTTCCTCCGTTTCAGGATGCAATGATGTCTAAAACAAACAAAAAAAGAAAAGAAAGGCAGATAAGTTGAGAAATCTACTCGCCAGGGGGGGTGTAGGGGGCCAGGGTAGTTTTCTCAACTTACAATGGTTTCCCGCCCAAACCGAAAGGGCCAAAGCATACTACAAAACGGATTTCACGTCAAATAAAAAAATCTACAAAATGACCAAATCTAATATTAGGTTGTTCTCCAGTATTTCCGTACCATTAGATTCGCAATACATCAACATCAACGGCAGAGCTCCATCTCACCATGCAATATGTGATAGAAAGCTCCGCGCTCAGCATTGAGAAAATTCAACTTGGGCGGTGGGACTTCACCCCTGGTGCAGTTCGATTTCTCTCAGCCAAAGCCAGGTAATGGCCCCGGTGCTTTAATACTTGTGTATTTTCATATGGGTGCAGCTCCCCACGAATAGATTGGAGCATGTTATTTCCCCCCCCGCCCAACAAAACAAAACAAAAAAAAAAGAAAAAAAAAAAGAAAAAAAAAAAAAGAAGGATTTCTTTGAGGTTGGAACCTGCCCTGGGACTTTCGGTGGACCGCATGGGACCACATTGGACTCCAATGGACTGCAGGAAACTGCAGTGGACTCCATCAGACTCCAACAAACAACTGGGTGGGTATAAGTGGTATACGCGGGCGTTTTAAAACGCGTATAATCGTGCGGACTCAAGTGCGATTAGCGTTTAAGGGAAATTAAGGCCTTAAAACTTGAGTCTGCGTTTGCGGGTCAAGAACTCAGCTACTTTCCCATACGCGTATCACGCACGCAATTCACAACTCCATGGTCCTCCTACTCAATCGACTCCTTGGGGGACTCCAAAAATAAAAGCAATCGAAGTGTTATTTATTTTTTAAAATTTTATATACAAACATCCCATGAAGATCTTCGGTCCCATTGCTGTAGGAGAGCCAATATATGATCGAGGCCTTCTGATGGATGGCTCTGTTCCATTGGTGGGGAGCGCACAGTTAATTAGTACCACATATAGCAATTTGACACTGGACACAAGATTGAATTAAAAGTTGGTAATTACTAATTACTAATTACTAATTACTACTAATTAGTTATTAATTTCGTAGCATGCGCGTTCCATTCTTGGCTAACTGCTACGAAATGACAATCCCCCCCCCCATGTGCAGTATGCGGTACTAATTAACTGTGCGCTTAATTTGACGCTCTGTTGAGTCTGTTCCATTCTTATCAAAGCCCGTAATTCGTTGATAAGCATCGCAGACAAGCGGACTCTACAGACGTTTGAGTACTACGGCGATGCTTTTTTTCTTATTTTTATTAGAACGGGGTACACAATAACCCGTAAAAAAATACTGGGTTCATCTGATTCCATCCGAGTTCGAACACATAACCGATTTAGTATTTACTATTTACCCCAATAGTTGCGAGCGTGTGACACTCCACCACATTACCAATAGTTGTGTGCGTGTGTGTGACATTCCGCCACATGTGCCAGCTATGTATGGGCCAGTTCAAAAGCTTTCTTCATCCTTTTTGTTTCCCCCCCCCCCCTCTTTTAAAAAGTCCAGGTTGTTGTAGAGGCCAGATTCCGACCCACGGTGGTTGCCCTCGTAGGAGCGCCGGAACCGGAAAGCTTCCCAGGAGGCCACCCTTCCTGGTACTATTCCGGCCACGCTGAAGCGGACGGTTCAGCGTGGCCGGCTACCGGGGGAGGTTGGACCCGGTAGTGGTATTTCATGTCGCGTCGCCTATTCCTAGCCCCACCCAAGGTCTTCAAGGCTCCCACTTGTTCACTCAGCCACTCTGGAACCGGTCAGCTTCCCAGGGGGTTTGCCTCCTACCTTCTTCCCCCGAATACAACGTACGGTCATTATAGCTGTATTTAGACTGAAATATACCCCCAATACAGCTATTGTAATGACTGTACGTTGTATTCGGGCGAAGAAGCTGGTACTATTTCGATTCAGTCGGCCAGTGGTTGTCCTGACACTCGTTCGTGGAACCACCGGGCCACCGCCCTACCCAACCTCATCACATTCCTCCTAGTGTACCCCCATTCCCACTATCCTACTTCAGTGTCAAATTGTCAATCACTCAGGACTATCACCCCTCCCCTAGAGGATGACTTGGACTGAACAGTGGTTATAGGCAGCAGGGGTACAGTCTTCCCCCGAATACAACGTACGGTCATTATAGCTGAATTTGGAGAATCTTTCAGTCTCAATTCAGGTATAATGACCGTACGTTGTATTCGGGGGAAGACTGTAGGCGGTTCTTATCCTGATATTTTTTATGGCCTCACCGCACCGCGCGCACCAATTGTGCAAAATGAGAATGAATTTTCAGCTAGAACATGGAAAGACGCACCACCATAATTTTTTGTCTTTTGTGCATTTGGTGAGCGGCGCGGTGAGGCCCTTTTTTTTTTCAGTTGCACGCTCTTATGTATGAATCTTATAGCTACAAGAAGACCGAATCCAATGCACTTCTCAAACGACAGGCTCGGCAGGCACAAAAAAAAAACACGGCTGCGAGAGATCAGCGTACAGTTGTTGCCTCACCTGTCACGTAGAAATGTGGCGAATGCTTGGGCCCGATGCAAGTGGCGCTTCTCTCCTGTTGCTCTGAAAAGCGAGAGGAAGACGTACGCATTTCCACTGACACCATGGCAGAGGCCAGCTCTCCTGAGGAGCCCTCTTTCCCAGACCACATCCGCTGCTTCGACTGCCGCCTGCAGAAACTCTGCCCCTTCTCCCTGAGGCCCGTACTTGGACGCCGCGGTCACCATTGTGACAGCAACGCCTGGTGCTCCGTGGCACCAATGAACCAAGAGATCTCGCGATTTTCCTTCACTGGAGGGGTAGTTTCCACTCGGGAATCGGTTCCGTATCATCAGTCGAAGAGTCGCTTTCACATCCTCCTCTGCGGAGGGGCTCAAGGGAAAGTGCATCAAGACTTGCATGATGCCTGCCAGACCGTGGGCAGCGCCCCAGTACCTTGTGCCATGCCACTGGTACATCAAAGGCCATCCGGTGTTTGCTGCCCCGGCACGGCCTCCTGAGATGATTGCTTCGATCACAGCCCCCTGCTTCGCCATTCCAGCACCAACAACAAACACAAACAACATACAATGCACACGTATTTAAGAAATCTGAAACGATTCGAATCATCACGAAGTCGACCTGGAGCATAGCATCGCCTTCAGGGGCAAGCCTGTGGCCTGGAGGATGGGTAGTCCTATTCTGCAAGGACAGCACAAGGAGGGAGTTGTGGTTGTTGAGAGGGTAGGGGGGGCAGATATGAGGGCAGGGTTTGCAGCTTTCTGGGGCTGTATGGGGGTTGGTTTTCGGAATGGGGAATCAGCCCTGGCCGGGGCAGATAGAGACAAGGGGCACTGCTTTTCCTGAGCGGGGAGTGGTGTTCGGTGGGCTGTCTCAGTTGGAGAGGATGGGATGTAAGGAACAGGGGAACTACGGTTCTGCGGGAGTGGACTTTAAGTGGGCACTGTACACCCATGAGGGAGCAGGGGTGACTGTTAGGGGGCCTGTCCTGAACTGGGGCTGATGAGGAGAAGGGGGCCTCCTTTCGGTGGGGCCGGTTTAAGGAGAGGGTGGTGGTTTTTGTCCTTTGTGGGCAAGGGGGTGACTTCGGGGGTTGTGCGGTGAAGCCCCATTACAGAGAGGGCGGACGTTGGTTGTCGGTGAGGGAGGGAGTCCTATCCTGCGGAGGCAGTAGCTGGGAGGGAAGTGCCCGCTTCGGGCCCTCTCTTTTCAATTATTTCAAGTTATCTTTTCACTGTTTCCAGAATTGCACCCCTGCCTCCCTCTTCCCTACTTTGGCTGATCCCAGAATCAAACTCCTCTTGGGTCCCGATAGGTCCCCCTAGTCGCTAACAATTTATCACTGTTTGGCAGTGTTTGCATCAAGGCTCTCGCACCTCTGGAAGAGGCTGACTGCCCCCACCATCCAACATGACGGCGGGCATTGGCCGCACTGGGCTCACTCCGTATTTTATCGGCGCCTCGGGCTCTATGTTTCTCT